AAGGACAATTGAAACCACAGTGTACCAACAGAAATTACTCTTACATTTCTGTTTATATTTTACATCAGCTGTGAAACAGTGTGGTTGTACGTGGGTATTACAGAGCCATCTTAAAAACAGCATAGCAGCGAGCATATTCGTGGCACTGATATTTTGGAGCTTTCACAAAACTGTTTAATTTTTTATACTATTTTCTGATAGAAAATACAGCTAAAAGTAATTTATGATACAGAGAGAGCAGCAATTTTGAATTGTGTTATTTATTAAACTGTTTAAGAATATATATAATTTTAAATCTATGAAGCTTTGAACATAAATTGTATGTTTTAGTACAGTTACAGTTGCAGAGATTGATTTGCTGTTATAGTGCAGTTGTTAATGAAGATTGTTCTGCATGAATGTTACAAACAGGAATAAATTAATGGTTATAATGAGACATGGAGTAATGATGTAATTTCACTTACAGTTAAAAGATAGCTAATAATTATGGACAAGAAAAGGAAGCTGTGTACTGTTGCTAAAAAGTTAGTGTTATTTAAATGCTTGTTAAAGGTTTGCTTTTGTACCTGCCTTTTAAAATGAGTTATTTTGGTACTTTTGAAGGGTAAAAATAAGTTTTAAAAAGTCAAATGGAAAATAAAAAGTTTTTGGCATCTGTATATATCTGTGTTTAACATACTTTACATACTTCGTGATGTAATACCTTTTGACAGAGTATACTGCTCTAGGTAGAAATGCTTTCTGTATTAGCCAAATACTTCAGAGAAGCAACTCGTTTTCACTTTACTAGTATGCTGCTAGTGAAATAGGTTAGTCTAAAGTTTTACATAGTTTAAATAATCTCATAAATTAACAGTAAACATTAATAATAACAAAAATCCCCAACCCTAGGAAAAGTAATAAATTCCATATTAACTTTACTTGAACATTTTTCTATTCTCTGTTACTTTTTATATTGTACAGCACCTACCATCTTTTTCCCAGCATTTTCCCAAATTGGCTTTCTTGGCTTTTGAGTTCAGTGCACATCCCCGATGCTAGGCCTGCAGACGTCAGCCTGCTCTGCCTACGCTGAGGCTGCAGTTTTGTGAACATGCTTTTTGTGGTACTAAACCTGATCAGATTCCACATTAAAAGGTGAAGTGTAGTACCTGAGACCTGGCACCGCTGATTCTGGGGTTGATTCTCCGCTAACCATGATCAGCTCTGAATGAGACAAAATCCTGTCTGTTTGCAAAATGTCCAATAGCTCTTCCCATACCAACCAGTGAATCCAGGGAAGAACTAGTTTTCAGTTAGTACTGTTTGCATGCTTCAAGCACTGAGCTGAATACACTGCACAGGAAGGCTTTATGTAAACTTTGTTCAGTTGAGGTACTTAGGAAGATTGCTAGATAATTTTTTTTTCTGTTCCACCTCATAATCCATCCTTCTTTCCTTCAAATCTTCTTATTTCTTGAATTTATGCCACTCCAACCTTGATTTGTTGAACCGTGAAGGATAGGGGGATTGAATTTGTTCCATTTCATGGTATGTAAGTATTTTAACTAGTTATCTCATTTCAAAGCATATATTAAGTATATTGATGTTTTTTCTTGTGGAAGCTGCTGTCTGGACAGTGATGGAAGTTTATATTTGCTTTTTACCATCAGAAGAACTAAATGAAAAGTGATGGTGGTGAATAGCTCCCTGTCAAAAGTCTTTAAACGTGAATGCAAACCACAACTGAAAGATGACACAATGTACTGCCATTTCAAAAGATGATTAAAACTTACGTATTATTAAAGGAAATAAACTAGAATAGGTGGAGAACGTCTTGTATATGATTATTTAAATCAGATTTAATGTAGCCTTTATGCAAGCACCCAATGACAGTCTTATGTTCTTTTGTAACTTACTTCAGGGTGTATTGTATACATGTGTACCTGCATACATGTGTATAAATACACAGATGTATTTATGTGTTTATGTGTGTTTATGTGTATATAAATCTGCATTCATACACATGCACATCCTCCCTCTGAATGTGTTACAGGTATGTATACGTGAAAAAAACCCAAACCCCAAAACAAAAACTATAAATCTTACTGAAATCAAAAGGAATGGGGACAGTCTTAGCATTACGCATATCTTGATGTCAACATATTGTGATAGATTCAGCCAGAAAGATCAGCTGTACTTTTGCTGTATCTGTATAAAGTCTTAAAAAATGTAGAGCTTTTAGTGGTTGGTATTCTGTCAGGTAGTTACTTTCTATTGCACATAGTTCTTCATAAGAACAAATTCATTTGGAATCCAGTCAACTGGATTGGAGTCAGTTCTGTTTAATAGAATATAACACAAATGTATTCACCTGCTGTTAATTTAATGAAAGCAAAACAATTCCAGTAATCTCAGTAAGTAGAGAATCTGAATCTTTGTTTTGCCTTTTTCCCAGATTTTGCTTGGTTTTACTGTGATCATTGAACCTAGTGTGTTCTATGAAGTAATACTTGCCATTGGTGGATAGCTGCAGAAACCTTGCAAATGTCCCGCATTTCTTGATATATTAGTTATGGTGTATCATTTGTATTGTTATGCTACCTTGCATGAAGAAGTAATAATGAAAAAACATTTGAACATTCAGTATCTCTAATGCTGGGAGGCCATGGAGGGCATTGTAGGAGTTCTTTGTGGTTTGTTTTTTTCTTTTCTTTTTGTTGTTGTTCCCTGGATCCCAGGCTAAATCTGCTTTTACTCTTCCCTTGCCGTCGACCCTGCATCCCCCATCTACTTTATGCTCATATTAATGCAGATGCTTTTCTACAGTGTTTTGTCTTCCCCTATTCCTTTCTGTAGTTGAATACGTCTCTCCATATAAAGACATTCAGTTTTATTGCCATATATTGTCCTAGTCTCTGATAGTCTGGATGTACTGCACAGCCGGAGTCCCAAGTTTATCTGCAAAAGTGAGAAGCCTCAGCCATTCTGATTGTGTGATTTCATTACAAATGTATTATTGTGTGTTGAGCAGAAAGGGGTACAGGCTGCTTCATTCCTCCACAGAGAAAGATGTGTGGTGACTTGGAAGCGTGGACAATTACTATTCAATGTATAATTGTTTAATAATATTGGTTCATGATGTCAGATCCTGTGCATGGACCACTTCATGATTATTACCTTTGAGGATATGTTGCCTGTGATTAATTTTTCACATAAGCAGAAATACAAGTAATGTTTCTGGGCATGTTGGATGATGTCTGAACATTGTGATGGAGTATGTTTCAAAGGAGTTGTTAGAGTTATTCTTTCTACATAAAAATGCACACAAACAATACATAGCCGTTGTACATCATGTTTCCAGGATTGTTGTACAACTTAACTTTACAATCTTTCTAAAAAGAACTTTGAAGAATGCAACTTAAGTGCAGTTGTAGCAGTACAAGTAAGCTGCATATCAAAATTGCCTGAAACAAAGGAGTATGGGGAAAACATTTTAGATATACCTGAAGATCCAAGAAGGCTTCAGGAACAATTTTATCAAGTTTATTTAAAGAAAACTCTACTTATATAAATGTGTTAACTTTTTAAGAAATACAATTCTAGGTAGGTGAGTTGAGTAAATTGAAATGTCTGTGATTTGTCTGTAGTCTGAAACAAGCTTTGAAATATTGTTGCACACAAAGCTCAAAGAGAAGCAGAGGTCATATTGTCTGGATAACAGTAATAATAATGCTAATACTGACAGTGGATAATGAACAGGCGACAGATAAGCTAAAATTACTTTTTATCAGTACTATAACTTCTGGATCTGTGAGAAACATCAACCTGAGTCCTGTAGGGTATGGCATTAAGTTTCCTATTAAATGATATATCCATTAATGACATAAATTGAACAGTGATAACATTTTTGAATTAGTATAGCTAGGAATTTTGATTAAAACAGTGACTCTTAAATGAGAAGTATAGATGAGTATGACTATCGTAGGCATTTGGCATATGAGGTGAGAAATAATGCAAAAAGAATAAGATTGAGGAAAGAATATCCCAGACAGGTGTAAACTAGGAACCCTACAATATAATTATGAATAAAACACCTTCCACATAATTTTATTGGTAAGAAGCAGAAAATTAATTTTAAATGTGGTACTATGACAGGCAAAGACTGATTTGATTTTGAGATTCATATCTAGGTATGTGTAGTTGAAAATTTTGTGGTAAAATCTTGCTGCAAACTTCACAGGGTTGCTGTCTAACTGAGCAGGTCCAGAAGGTAAGTCATGCTGTGTAGTTAGGATCAACCTTGGTTAAAAGAGGAAAACAACTTTAACTAAAGCCTAGTTAGAGCAAATTTTAGGAAAAGAAAGAGAGTTCAGCATGTTGATTGGGATTCAAGCAACTTGAAAATGCAAGAGCTCATGAAATATCTTAAGTGTGTGCCTTTTGAAATGTTACATTCTCGGTGAGTTTACAAGACAAAAATAAAGTACTGTTGCCTTAGGTAATTGAAGTGAAACAAAGAAAATATGTATTGGAAAACATTTTTTTCTTTTTAGCATATAAAAGAGTAATCTGACAGCCTCTTGTGCTGCACATTGTGACAAATGCTAACAGTTTAATTAATCATGATTGTATGTTGTAGATACTTATTTGTACATGGGATAGCTAACACCTCAGTTCTACTGAGTGCTGAAAGTAATTTTCAGGATGCTAGGGAAACTTTAGGATAAGCTATTAAATCTGATACTTTTCAGTTAACCTGGTTATTTCTTCTGTAGAATGGCACTAGAGTTGAGTGGATTACTGTGTTAGAGTAATAACGACTTAGTAGGTCATCTGTGGCTCACTTCTGTGCCAGTTGTGCATTGCAGCCAGTACTGTGTACCATTCCAGTTCCATGCACTGAGCACAGGGAAAAACATTTACTCTTCATTGGTTCTGCTAGTAGAGGTACTGAATCTCTATTGCTTAGGCCAACATATATGACATAATGCTGTCATTAATATTCTGTCTTTTTTCAGGACAAAGAAGGAGTGGAGGGTGTATCTGTGGGAGCCATTCTTTCTGACTACCAGAGAGTTCGAGTTGAAGATGTGTAAGAAAATATTAATCTTTACTAATATCCACATTCTGGAAAGTGCTTTACTTGTTTGTTAACTTTAATTCTGGAGCAGAAACAGTTGCTTTATTTCTCATGTTCTATGATACCAAATTCATTAAATCTGTTAATATAGGTATCTTCCCCCCTGCCCCCTTCCCTGCTGGAACCATTTGTTGATTAGTAAAAGTCCAGATTTTTTGATTGCTCTTCAGGTCTCCTATGGATCTGTTGAAAATCTCAGTTTTGATATCTAGATAGTTAAATAGGTTCAAATCTTTGATTTCAACGCAGTTCCAGTGACTATGGTGTTGTAGTCGGGTTGGCTGTGGTCAGCTATCTCTATTTTTCAGCAGCTTTACTATAGAGGAACATCCTGTGACTTGTTATCAGAAATTAAGTACAAGAGAATCTTTATGTACATATCTTCCCTTACTTCCTTAAAAACTAAAATCTGTTACTATTAATCAAGTTCTTTCACTTGTCATTTCTACTGTGTGCACTCTTTAAGTCTAGATTGTGATATGTTTAATAATCTTAATTTTAAAAAGGATTATGTAGTGAGAACTGTGTGTGTCATATAGGCCAAGATTTGATTTGGGTCTGAAAACAAATTTTCCCTGTATATGTTTGGTGAAATGCAAATCCACTTTATGTTAAAAAAATAAATTACAATTTCATTACTTAATTAGTTATTTGTTGATGATAAAAGCAAATATCTGGAATCCTGTATGAACTGTAAGAATGGTGAAGTTAATGCTGTGCCAACTTGACTCACTTCAGCAAGTTGCACAGCATGGGTGTTTTCTTTCCATAGGTAAATAGCAGTCAGAAATAGCTCCTTTCTTTTACTTTTCCCTTACACTTAAAACATGTTAATGACTGTGATCATGTTACTAGATATTTTAGAAAAGATTGCTTTTGTTGATTATAGGTTTCAGATTTTTTTATCACAGCCGAAAGACTGACAGGACATCACAAATTTCAGATAGGCCTGATTAATTCCAAGGTTACTCAGTGGTAAAAAAATGTTGCACTGACCTGTAGATATACTTGCCATAAAGTTGTTTCACATAAACCAGCCCAGTTACTGGGATTCAGCCAACTTGTTAGTTAGACACCTAAATGAACTACTTCACATTCAGAGTTGCTAAATGTTTCTTTTAATTTCACAACTTAGTCCTCTGTTAAAATATATGAAAGTAGTAACAAAACAAATCAGATTATATGGGTGATAACTATGGATTTACATGTCAACACTGAACATCCATTTAACTGTAAAGTCTTGACACTAATACTAGTGGGCTTATCTAACATATGGGAGAAAGCCCATATATCAGATAAACAATGATAATTGACAAATAAATGTAATTTTTTAGTGCCCTGTGCTAGTCCTGTAGTTAAATGTTTTTAAGTTTTTCAGGAACTAGGCATTACACATTTTATCACCAGCTGATGGTACTTGACAATTTGAAGAAGGGTTACCTATCAATAGTGCAAATTAGTGATCCTTTAATTTGAGAAACAATCAAATCCTGTGTATCAAATGCTGTCTAAATATGATATGTATCAAAACAAATAATTAAACTTACATTAATAAGTTGTTTCCTTGAGTGTTGATCTAAATCACAGGTTTGTGGAGTTTAACAAATTCAGCAAATTGTGCTGGTGGCATATGCCACAATTATCATAGAACTCTTGTCTTAGCTATTTTAATAAAAAGTGGTCACTTCCTAAGGTATTAGTTGATTTGCATCCCTAAAAGTTCAGGAATGTTTTTTCTCATGGTTTTACTATGTTCCCTTGTGAATCGGTTTACATCAGTGAGTTACGCCTTACATACATAGGTGAATTATACTCAGAACAAGTCTTTTTTAATGTATAATAGACTTATTGTATATACTGAAATCTAGGAATAGTATTGTAATTGAAAATTTAGAAGAAAAATTGTTTAAAGGTAGGAAATCAGAGAAATTAATTTTCTTTAATTTTACATGCATTACACTATGTAAAAGCAAAATGTCTGGCCTTATCCAATTTTTTTTGTTTTTTTTTTAAGTTGCAGAAGGCTTAATCTTCAGCCTTTAGCTTACCTTTGGCGTCGAAACCAGGAAAAATTGCTTAAAGAAATGATATCATCTAACATTCAAGCCATAATCATAAAAGTGGCAGCTTTCGGTATGTATTCAGATTCTGAGCAATATTGTCAGCTGAAACTCCTCATGGACAAATCTACAACATAACAGAGAAAACCAGAAATTTTGTTCTATATTTTAGGATACAAAATGTTAATATGAAGAAATTTTTTAAAAATTACATGGCTGAATTACAGTCTTGATATCTGAATAAATAATTTACTTGTGTGCAATTCATTCTTAGAGGAGACATGGAAAAGCTGGAAAATAATTCTTCCTAGCATAGTCATTAAATTCCTTTGGTTTGGTTTTGATTTGCAGTAAAGATGCATGCATAATTCAGTGGTTCACAGTATTGTCATTTATAGAAGATGCAGACTGGTGGCTAGACAATATTATAAAGAAACCGTGAAAGTTTTAATAGAAATACAGCAAATTAACATCTAACAAGATGTAATTATATGAGGCCAAAACATTCTGTGTAACCAACAGTCTTTGAGTTGGTAAAGCATAGTACAAACAGAAATAGTTCGTCATTGCCTTCAAAAAAAATAGTATTTACAATGTAGCTGTTTAATATACCAGAAAATCAACATGTCTTTTCATTGTCAAAGATATAAAATGAGGTTTGTATAATGAAGCAAATCAATATGAAAGATAACCTATTTGTTTATTGTTTGAATGTAAAAATGAGGTCAAATGAAGTTTTATAGGAAGATGTATTGAATGATATGATCTATAACCTGAGGAAGCATATGAAAAACATAGAACCACAGAATCATTTGAGTGGAAAAGACCTTTAAGATCACTGAGTCCAGCTATAACCTGTCCACTACTAAGCCATGTCTCTAAGCAACTCACCTTCCCATCTTTTAAATACCGACAGGAATGGTGACTTGACCACTTCCCTGGACAGCCCATTCCAATTCTTGACAACCCTTTCAGGGAAGAAGTTTTCCCTAATACGTAATCTAAACCTCCCCTGGCGCAACTTGAGGTCAATTCCTCTCATCCTATCCCTTGTTACTTAGGAGAAGAGGCTGACCTCCACCTCACTAGAACCTCCTTTTAGGTAGTTGTAGAGGGCTGTAAGGTTTTCCCTTGACCTCCTTTTCTTCAGGCTAAATGACTCCAGTCCCCCAGCTGCTCCCATATGACTGATATTTCAGAACCCTCACCAGCTTCATTGGTTTTCTCTGGACACACACCATCTTGATGTCCCTCTTGTAGTGAGGGCCCCAAAACGGAACATTATATTGGAGGTGTGGCCTCACCAGTGCCAAGTACAGGAGTATGATCACTTCCCTAGAGCTGCTGGCCACACTATTTCTGATACAAGCCAGGATGCTGTGGCCTTCTTGGTCACTGGGCACACTGCTGGCTCATATTCAGTTGTCTGTCGACCAACACCCCTAGATCCCTCTCTGTCAAGCAACTTTCCAGCCACTCATCCCATTACCTGTAGCATTGTATGGGGTTGTCCTGCAGAACCCAGCACTTGGCCTTGTTGAACATCATACAAGTGGCCTCAGCCCATCAATCCAGCCTATCGTCCCTCTGTAGAGCCTTCCTACTCTCAAGCAGATCAACACCAGCCCAGCTTAGTGCCATCTGCAAAATTACTGAGGATGCACTCAATCCCCTTGTCCAGGTCATTGATAAAGATGTTAATAACGGGACACCACTTGTGACTGGCCACCATCTGGATTTGACTCCATTCACCACCACTCTTTGGGCCTGGCCATCCAGCCAGTTTTTTATCCAGCAAAGAGTATGCCTGTCTAGGCCATGGGCAGCCATTTTCTCCAGCAGTATGCTGTGGGAAACAGTGTCAAATTCTTTACTGAAGTCCTGATACACTACATCCACAGCCTTTCCCTCATCCACTTAGCAAGTCGCCTTGTCATAGAAGGTCGAGTTAGGATGGGTCTTCTTGTAATAAACCCTTGTTGACTGGGCCTGATCTTCTGGTTGTCTTGGACTTGCTATGTAATGGCACTCACAATGATCTCCATGACCTTCCCTGGCACAAAGGTCAGAATGAACATGGTCAAACGTGTTAATGGTACAATATATTCATTTCAGACCCCTATGGAGTTTTTCATTTAACAGTATCAAATGTGGTCTTAAGCATAAAGTGTGATCAAAGGACTTTTTTTTTTTTTGTGCACTGGCTACAGATTTGCAGTCCATTGTACCAGAGAACGGCTAGTCTAGTACAGGAGCATCAGTAGCATTGGTGGTTAGAGATGCATGTTAGAAAAATAGTGTTGTCTAATCTTGCATTAGTAGTCTAATGGCTGGTTTATCTGGTCGACTTTCACATCAAGTTTCTAATGCTGTCTTCTTTAAAGAATTCTTCATAACAAAGTAAATTCTCCTTAAATATTAACGAAGAATTGAATTATAATCCCTTTAGACTGGATGAATTCCATTACTTTTTTTCTTAGTATTAATTCTTATTTTTTTTTAGTTATTTATTCTTGTAGCTGGTATAGTTTCCAGTTAGTTTTTATGTTATCACTATGATGGTCTCACTGTACTGTTCTCTGGGATCTGCTAGGACTGCTGGTGGATTAGTCAGGATTCCAGATTCCCTTATTTACTTACAGATAACAAGCAATGTAATGTAATAGTGTTTTTCTGAATTTTGGAAGGCCAGTTACAAATACATAGGAGTTGAATGCTGTGTTTTCTAATATAAAGCACTTATTTTTTAATTTGAAAAAAAAAATATTTTTAAAGGAACACTTTTCAGGCCATATAAAGTACATTTTAATATTTATGTTATTTTTTCCATAAAATAGATTGCTTTCATTGCTTGTGCTGACATGAAGAAAAAATAAAATTCCACAAAGAATATGTAACATGCTTTTTCACATCAGAATTATTTTTTAAAGAAACGATATTATTTAAATAATATACAAAATTATTTCACAAGTAGACATCATTGATGACCTGTCTTATGCCTGAAGCAAGATAAGCTTGTCTTTTGTATTCCACAGTCTTAAAAACTTTAAATGCACTAGTTAGTGCACAAAGAGTTCTTTGTGGGCTATTCATTGAAGGAGTGAATACCATAAATACTTGTAGATAGCAATTAGATAGAAAATCACTCTGAGGATTTTTTTTTCTCTTTTAATTTTTTTTGGCTACAGGTAAAAGAAAGATCTTATCAGAGTCAATTTCTCACCTGCCTCAGGCAGATGTAATTAGATGTAAGCAAATTTAATGGAGCTTGTGTGCCTTGGGGCCACTCTGTAATGCTTTAATAATTGCATGCCTTATTAAAGTGGATTTAAGGTATGAGGGCTGTTTAACATATCAAGTGGCAAAGAAGATAAGATACAGTTTAACTTTTTGCCTCTTAGATTTATAATCAAAGCTAAACTGCAGGGAAAATATTTAAAATAACAGATTTAAGAGTCTGAAGGGTAATGCATTAGATGGTACATTGTACAGATGTTAATGCAAGAAGCAAATCTGTAACCTGAGCCTGACATTCAGCAGCACTGGCATACTTGTACACCCGCCTTGTCCTGTTTTCCATTAACTCAGTGCCAGTATTGGCAAGGTAAAAGCCTGTCGTTTTATGTAGAAAACACATAATTATGCAAGTAAATGAGCATTAGTTTAGAACATTTCCCTAAATCCACCATTACAAATTAATACCATAAACTTTGCCAGTGGCAAGAGTTTTCTATCTGAGTACTGTGCTTTTCCAGATGGGATACCAATTGCTCTCACTTACATGCAAAAGAAGTATTGTTAGCAAGCCTTCTTCACATGCCTTCTGTTGATCTATAAGTGGATCAGCTTTCTTTCTTTTAGACTGCATTTCAGAGGCTTTAATGATGAGAGAAAAACATTCCATGATCTAGCAGCAAACCTGAGCTATATAAGAAAAAAATCTGCTTATGCATATTTATCTTAGGTGCCATTTTCTTGCTGCTAAAGATGCCTGTATGATGCATGATACTTTTAAGTTTGAAACATACCCCTCTTCAGTGGAAGTCCCAGAATGTCAGAATAAGATTACTCAGTAATAGCCAAAATAGAAACAATTATTGATTGTTTTTAAGATGTGTGTGCCTGAAATTCCAGTAATATCCATTGCTTATGTGACACTGCAAGATAGCACTGTGTAATATAACAAAGACAGTATAATATAACACAGTAAGATGAGTTTTTGATATCCTTGTTGGATATCAATGGACATGTATCAAATGGACACATTTTACAGGTTAAAATACTAATTAAATTGCAGAATATGCATGTAACAGATTCAACTTCTAATCTTGGTAACTTTATGCACTGGCCTTACCTGTACCACATTCTATAAAGCAAATTGCTTACACTGCAGCACAAGGTATAATACTCAAGTGGAAGTGAGAGAAGGAGGAAGGTTTACATTTGGAAGGAATCTTTGGGTTCCTCAGTATAAATTGAGCATTGAGTTTTATTTCATTTTAATTTCCATTTTAAAATGTTTTTACTTGAAAAAAGCATTGTAATTATGAGATCAGATAATAGAAATACCAAGTTGAAAAAGAAAAACTCTTTCATGGTTAAATTATGTTTCTGACTTCTTTGGACCACAGGAGATAAATGATACCATGACACTGTTCAACTGTTCAACAATAATAAAAGCTGAAACTTTGTATCAGGGCTGATTATACTGGTGGTCCTCAGCCTACATTTGAAGTGGGGCTATTATGCCATGGCTTACATCCTTTATCTTGTAGGTCTATCTGCTATGAGTGCTTCTAGACAACCTGCATGCTCAGCCATGGGTAGAGTTGAAATCACAGGGACTGTGGAAGCCTAAATTTTGAACTGATGTGGACCCTAGTTGCTTAGCCAGGCTATTTCCCTCCAACAATGGAGTAATGAGTCCTTAGGGAGCCATTGCTATCTCCTGTTTGTCAACAAATCCTAAAGTTCCTTCTCTGAAATGAGATGTCTGAAGTATGTATATTTAACTTGAGTCTGCTTTGCTGTGAGAAGATCTTGACCTCACAAGGTCTAGAAGACTGGTATGCTCCTGCTGTTCATAGATTCTGAAAATCTGATACTTTAGGGATGCATGTGGTTCTGCATATAAGCTT